GCAAAGTTCTTTCACATGGAGTCATGTGACAAGGATGGATGGTTGGATGGATGAATGAACCATAATATATTAGTGCTACTCTTGTACCTATAGGTGCAATTGAGCCCATTCCTAAAATTGACGGATGGCACCGGGGAGGTGTGACGCTGCAGGAGAATGTGACACACCGGTTCAACTGCCATTCAGATGGCTGGGACCCCCACGCCCCTCCCATGTTGACCTGGTATTTGAACGGCGAGCAGCAGAGAGATCCATCGCCAAACCGTGGCCGTCTGGTCATGACATCACAAGAGGATTCTGAGGTGATGAGACCGGGGTCCAATCACAACAGCACCTTCTCTTTGAGGGCCAGAAAGTGGGACAGGGAACTGGTGTGTGTCGCATCAAACCCCAGGACAGGCGAGAGCTACAACGCCACGGTCACGCTCAATGTACAGTGTGAGTAAGTGGGCCCATGTGTCTTCACCTGATGCATTTGACGAAATGCTGAATTGCTCTTTCTCTGTGTCTCAGTCCAGCCAGAAATCCTCACGGTGAATGCCCACTATAGTGAAACCTCACACCCCGGACTCTCCTTAGTCCTCTTCGCCTTGGTGCGGTCAAATCCACCTGCCACGATCACCTTTGTTGACCAGTCCGGCCAGTTGGTGGCCAATACCTCTGACTTCCTCATTCTGGACTCACGAAGCTACCCCTGGCTGACCAATCACACGCTGAGAGTCACGCTCAGCAGTCTATCAGGAAATGTCTCGTTGAATGCCAGCAACAGCGTGGGAACGGCGCAAAGCAACCTCACACTGGCAGGTGAGACAAATTTACCATGACTTGAGAAACTACATGTGATAATAATACAGTCATCAGGACCTCTACAGCACATCTCTTGGCCTTAGTTTCCTGTTTACCATGCAATTATGAGATCACTAAAAGAAAAAGTGAAAAAAAACCCAAAACATGTGGAATTATTCCTTTAAACTCTCCACTTTCTGTCTCCAGAGTTCCTGCAGTCTCGTGTGGAGGTGCCCATGCTGGGAATCGTGACCGGAGGAGCCATGGCCTTTATGGCCCTGCTCATCCTCAGCCTGATAGTCCTCTGCCTCATGCAAAAAAACAAGAGCAAGTCTATTGGTGAGACTCAAGTGTGCATGCATGCAGTGAAGAAACCAGCTGGAAAATTTGATTGCAGCATGTATTCTTAATGTATTCTTCAGCAGACTAACACACATCCCCGTTTGATGTTACAGAGGATACAGTGGAGATTGTGATGACCAAGAAGAGGTAAGCAAGGAGGGCAGACTTGTGATGTTACAGCACAAAAAAGTGGAAATCTCAGCAGTCATTGCCATTATTCTTTCTGAATCTTCAACGTTTGATTGACACCACACCGACACCATCTCTGTATTCCAGCGCATCCATATTTCACATCTCCCTTAATAATTTCCACCTCAGCGCATTAGCGGACTGAAAACACTGCTGAAAGCATTTCTCTGCTCTTAAGAATACTTTATGTGCATCCTACAGATCAATACCATCTCTAATCCAAGTTTGATATCTTCCACACAGCGAGTCAGCCAATCTGAAGCCGGATAAAACTGATAAGACCCACATCCCCAGAGAGAACATGTCCCTGCCTTCAAACATGCAGCTCAACGACCTCAGCACTTTAAAGAAAGGTACATTTACCACAGTTTAACCACAGCACAGAATCTGACCGTGCAAACAGTTTAAGAATACAACACTTTAACAATAAATCGTTATCAACAATAATTAACGTTATCAATCTTGGTGTAAAATGTGTTCTCCAAGATCTTGGTAAGAGCAATCAGTCTGTCATTTCTTGATCATTTGGAATTCTAGGCATCCATTTGGGCACTACTTAGATTAGATCCATGCTTTTTTATTCAGAAATGAGCCGCCCTGTTGTGGTTATGTTCTTCTATTAAAATCAATCAGATCACAAAGAGGGAAAATAATTATTTAGTATTAATGCACAGGATTTACACCATTTCAAAACTGGATAATGAATGATAATGATCCCAGAAAGTTTACTGTGAAAGTACCTGATGTCATATTTTTAAATACATTTAATTCTCTGAAGGAGATTACATGAAGGTGAGAGAGGGAACAAGAGTTGCTTTAGATGCTAAACAGTTTTTGGGAACCTACTAGTTTGCTTTCTTGCTCACAGTTAGAGAAAGGATTACAACCAGACTTCACTTCTGAGATGTGTCTATTGAAACCTGTTTCTCTGGGTTTCCAGACAGCCACCAATATACCAGTCACTCTGGTTCTTCACCAGAACAATCACCTGCTTATCTGTCAGTAAAGCAAACAGAAGGTCAGGAAAAACGTTAGCTAGACTTATCTGTCTTAACTTTTTTGTTTTGGTTTTATCTAGAGTGCGCACACACACGCACGCACACACACAGAGATGCAAATTTAATTGAATTCTTTGTAAGTTATTTTTCGGTTTGGCAAGTTATTTTGATTATTTATTTTATTTTATTATTTATGTCGTGTGGTAGCTAAACCTAGCTTAGCTTAACATAAATTTAGCTTAGCATACATTGTGATTGGTTAGGAAGTACTGCAGCACATCAGCCCCCTCCAAGAAATGCATTGTTACATGTTGGGTTTTTACAGACTGCTTTTAATAGGTTAAATAAATAGTTGATGGTATGTTAATTTGTAAGCTTCAATGGAATGTTTTAGCTTTTTAGCCATTTTATTTGTATTTCTGATTCCGTTTAGCCTGTTAGCTACAGCAAGTATCTAGCTAGGTGTGACAGTTTTATCAGTTTCTATCCATCCTTCTGAACCACGTCCTGGAGCCTATCCCAAATGTTACTGTAATGTTACTGTAATGTGAATACACTTTAACTTGATTTTAAAAATCTCACCACAACTTCCCCACCAAAAAAGGATAACATCTTACATACTACTGCATCCTCCATCTTTCCTGTATCACTTTTTGTAGCCCGAGAGGCCGCCCAGCAGAACAGTGTGGGAGAGGAGAAGAAAGAGGAAGAGGAGGAAGATCTATCTTTAGCCTATGCTGCCAGAGGTCAGGGAAATACTCCTGATCCTGTTGAGTTTTTTCTTCACTTTTTAAAATACTTTAACATAAGTTTTTGTATCAAGGAACATTAGCGTTCTTTCTTTCCCCCCTAATGTTTCCAGGTTTTGCCAGATATCCGATGGTGGGCTACATCTATAAGGTGAACAGCACAAGCAGCGAGGAGATCTGGCTCTGACGTTCCTGAATGTAACACACATACTGTACATGCATGCTACTTCAAAACAGTCCAGCCGTCCCGGAGGAAACCCAGAGCAACTGCCACTCAACCAACAACTCAGGCTGGACTGACACGAACAGGATCCAGGATCTTGTTGGTGGAGTTTAACACCATTCTGCTGGCCGCATCGACATGATCACGAGTTTCATAACCACACAAGGAAACTGTCTGTGTGTTTGTTACCAAGTGCTCGGTATTTACACTGCTGACATGTTGTCTCAACAGTATGAACTGCAAATGAAGCGCTCATCTTTCAGTTTGTTTCGACATGATCTCCTGTAAACATGCTCATAATGTCCCTCCTCTGTGTTGCATTACTGGAATGCATTAAATGTTCTATGCTAACACTGATACCTGAATAAAATGGTGCATAATTATAGAATATGTATTTGGTCATGGGAATGTTAAGATGCAATGTACTGTATATTTGTATGCATATGTATATGTGTATAAAAGAAGATGTCTAATAAAGATAATATGGAGACTGTGTGGAGGCAAAAGCTGGAAAATGCTGTGGTTGCAATCAACACTCACCAGGGGGCGCTGCAGAGCGGTTTACGATGAGAGTCGTGTGTTGTTGGCATAGTTCTAGCAATAAGTGTTGTGTGATGGAGAAGGCACTGTTGCATTTGGGGGAAACGTAATTGGGTACTCTATAGCTGTAGCAGGTGCAGGAGAAGAATAATCTAGCTCTTTAGGTTTAACTGTGTGTGTGTGTGTGTGTGTGTGTGCCAGGTGTTAGCTCTGGGTCACAGGTTCCTGTGGCTTTTCATCAAACAGGAAGTTGAGTTGTGTTGTGGGAGCATCTATTTGCTTTCTCTCTGTTTTTCTTCTGCTCTGTACAGTAAATGCAGTCTGTCACACACATAGTGGGAAAAGAAAACATTCACAACACACGGGGGAATTAAAATATTCATCTGAACACACACGGTTGTGTTTGTGCCTTCGTTTTACCAGATGGAGCTGCTCACCACCACCGGCACGAACATATCCCAGAGCAAGCGTACACCAAGCAGCAATTACTGTCAACAGGCTGATCAGTCATTCCCATAAGACGGAATTTTCTTCTCCGGTTGTTGTTCGTGTGTTTTGTAAGATGTGAAAGCTGCCATGACAAAAAAATCACGTGGGTAGGGGAAAAAAAAGAGTTTCAATACCCACAACATTTTAATCTTATTACATATACAACAAACATGAAGTTTAGTGATCAAACAGGAAATGAGTGAACAGTTCAGTGAGGCTTTAGTGTTGAAACTGCACTAAACTGATTTTTGTTGTGACAAGTTCAAAATACTCGACTGCAACTTAAAATGTTGCTTGTGTTGGTGAGAGTGTAATAAATATTATTAGCTAAGTGCATCTGAACATGTCAAAGTCACAGTCAGGCTCCTCCAGATGTAGGAATCAACAAAGCCTGCTGAGACAGAAGATAAACCAATCACATTCACTTCCGTTTCATGCACATGCACAGAGAGACTGAGACACTCTGACAGACAGACTGGATGCTCGGCAGCTGAGACCCACAGTTCTTCATTTTGTGGTCAGTGCTTTTATTTAAAAGTTGATATTATGTTGTGTTGATATTAAGTGTTGATATTGTTATTTAAATTTAGAGTTAATAATGTGTAAAGTGTGAATTCTAGGAACAAAATAAATTAAACCTGGTTTCAGAGTTTGTATTGTTGGCTAACTAAAACGATTTCCTCTGAATAGCACATTAAATGTTATATTTCATCATCTATTATCTGTCTCTGTTGGTCCAATAAATGGTTGACATGAAGTAGAAAATGGCGTACTTCCTGTTGCTCTGTAGTTCGCTCGCTCTTACTTGCAGGAAACTGAACTGTTTCCTTCTATCAGCACCAGAACTCACAGGAACAATGAAGAATCTCTTTCTGGCCTCCTGTTTGCTGCTGCTTTGGACCTTCACAGGTAGGCCTGCCACACCATTTTACCCCTCACTGACATTAAAAGAAAATCATTGTAGGAATCATAATTCAGTGACAGGGTTTTAATTTCAACTTTGAATGTTACAGAGGTACATGTTGTTGTTTTTTTCACAATTTTAAAAAATATTTTTCTCGGAATTTCTTGCAGTGTTTGTCAGCTGTGAAAACACCGGTAAGAAGACTACTTTTTTCATGTGACTATGTAGTATTATAGATGTGTGTGGAAATATATGAACTATGTGGTAATGTACAAGTAACAGTTAAACGTTAAAACGTTTAAAGTACATGCAAGTTTGAGGTGTTCAATTTTATTTATTTATTTTTTCCACAGCAGACATAACAGTGAACGAGCTCGCTGAGGGAATTAAAGTGATTTGTCCTGACAGTTACGAACCAAAAGAAACAAAATTGGAAAAAAGAGACAACAACACCAAGGAGTACACATGCACAAAGTCTGACACAGAGAAACTAAAAATCTTTGTGAAGTTTCGCAGTAAGTTCCGCAGGACAAGCTGTATTTGTGAAATGTGATGAAAAAAACTTCAGTTTTCCATTTTATTGTGCCTAGTATGCATACTCTTTTGTACTTGCTTTACTTGGCTTCATTCTTTATAATAATGTAAAGTAAGTAGCCTACAGTAATACTTAAAGGTTCCTGACAGAACTGAATCTGATAAAAATGTCAAATTGTCAGGATACCTGTGAATAAATGTAATTATTGTTTGTGTGTGTTCGCAGGCTGTGACAACTGTGTAGAGCTTGACATAATGTCTATAGTGGGCATGGTCATAGGAAATGTGGTGGCCACCATTGTGATCGGAGTGGGTGTCTATCTCCTCGCCTCTCAGACTCGAACCGGCCCCGTCGTCTCTAACAGAAAGAGTAAAAGTAAAGACTGTCTATCTGTCTTTTACCGTGGAAAACATTGGGTCTAAATAACAGATGTAGTATATTTTTAAACACCCTGCAGGATTGGTCTTTAGTCACTGGTTAAGAATGTTGTGCTATTATTTTAATTAGTTCGCCCCATTGGGCGCAATTAGCATTTGAGTGTCATATTGGTCACTGGTAGAGGAGAATAGAGCTCCAGCTACAATTCAGAATTACTCCGAATTAAATCACTAAGAGTTTAAAACTATAGTCATTTAAATAATGCACACAAATACCCTAAAAACATTATTATTAATAATAGCTTTACTGTTAACTCAAATTGCCATCAGCAGATTGGTTAATAATAATTCATGTGTCTTCAGGCTCCGACAGACAGCATCTTGTTTCTGAAAGCAGAGGACCGTCCAATGACCACTACCAGGTAAGCTGAAACACGAACACCCGTCGTAAATGTGAAAATACCACTAATAACGAAAACAACAACTGACACATTTTCTGCAACAGCCTCTGAGGAGAGCTGGCCAGAGAGATACATATGACGAACTCGTCCACAGAAAATAAACGAAAGGACGCTCACTGGGTCCATCGCTGGAAACTGAAGGTCCATGAGCCCTCACATCTGAAACATCCGACAGCAGCCCCCGACAGAGGGAAAAACTGTTTCCAGGGTTTATGTTTAGCTTGCTTTATGCCCATTTCTAATGTAAAATCTCTTCCAGCTTTACTTTCATCATGCTTGTAAGACAATGCTTTTCAGACGCCAGAAAATCGAGGCACAATATTAACTGAAGTATTATTTTTGTTTATTAATGAAAAACTAAGATTACCTTGGTACCCAAATGAAAAACTCAAGGAATAAAATTGACTGCGTTGTCTTGTTATGCTATCGCTAGTGGTGAATACTTCTCTATTACTTTTTTTTGGTACAATTTTAAGGTAACTGCTATATTATACTTCAGTCCTAATGTATAAATGAGCTTTATACTGTGCTTTTTAATACCCTATATTGTAATGGTGTCACCATAACCATGTACCGATGATAACTGTGACATTTAAAAAATAAATATTAACATTGTGTAAGTAATGCACATATGATAATATAAATGTAGTTTGATTTTTAATTCATTTCAAATAAAGATCTCACACATTCGACAAAGTTGTAGATAAATTTGACTGATGGTATTATTGCTATTATTTTTATTATTCCTGTGTTTTGATACATATCCTTATTAATTTCTTCAAACTGTTATTTTGAAATGAAAATCTGAAAACGCCCCAGTATGTCTATATACATATAATTATTTGTAAATGTAAAAAAATAAAGCACTATTTAATGTTAAACCAGTTTTTCTGTGGTTTCATTTAAGTGATAAGTTAGATGCCTTTGCATTTTTCTTGATTTTTGTTGTCCGTTCACTCAATATGCATGAACGTGAATATGTCAAATTTAGCTACATGTCAAATCATTTATAACCAAACCACATGGGCTTGTTCAATATGTAAAAAGCACGATATACATTTTGACATAACCCCCCCCACAAATTTAACAATATCACAGGGACTAAAAACGCAACACAAACTCATTTGATGAAAAAAAATCCCTCAAACTGAATAAGAAGATTTTCAGAATTATCTTTTAGATAAGGACGCCTGACAGTTCTCTCGTGTTCAATGTGGAGGAGCCTCCAGGTCACTGAGCATCTAAGGAGACTGAACATTTATAGATGAGTTTAAGAACAGCATATTTAGTGAAATAATTAACATATTTAATTTATTAATAATGCAATGCTGTTTGCTACTAACCTTTTACAGAATAACGGGGTTTAATAAGACTCCATAAGCATCCATGAAGGGATCAATGCTGTTGTAACAGTGAAACAATGGCAGTGAGTCCGGTGCAGAAATCTTTCAGTATTCATCCAATGATAGTGCCATTTTTAAATAAGCTGATCTGTACCAGATCAAAATAATCAAAATATGTACAATCTGAGTTTCAATTATTATTATTATTATTATTATTATTATTATTAGTAGTAGTAGTAGTAGTAGTAGTAGTATTATCAGTAGCAGTGCTAAAACTGCATCTACATTATATTTTGCGAATGCTTTGCTGAAAAAAAACTAGGTTGAGCTCAACTTCAGCACAGAGGTTACATCAGAAATGTTAACACATCATCCAAAAATCCACCCAAAATGTTGATGTGAATATCCCACTTTTAACACGTTTTCAGTTTATTTTATGCAGCTGACTAACAGGTGCGATTTGGAGTGAAAAGTATTCATCATGATCTTCTGTTTTTTGGAAACACTTCATTTCATAAACTGTGTACCTTGTGAAATAAAAAAAGAAAAGCTTGAGAACCACAGAGCTAAACTTGCTGACTGAAGAGCCCCCTTCTTCACAGCCCGAGTGTTTGGATGTGACAGCGGTACTATCGTGATGCTGCTACAGAAACAAGAAGACCTTAATTTCACCATGTTCCAGCATGGTCCTTTTTCTTTTTGGAAAAGGTTCTTGTAACCACAGAAGTTACAATAAATGTAGAATAACCATTATGCTGTCTGTCAGTCCTAGAATGCTCCCTGTCTTTCTTTATGGAGAGTGGTTGCCTCCAAAGGTGTGTCAGTCCTCAGAGACATATTAAAATGTACAACTGTGTGTTAAAGCTATTTACAACTGGGACAAAATTTGATATCTGCCTGGTGAGTGATTTTTTCAAAAAAATTTTTAAACACACTGTTTGGGATTAAAGCCTTAGTTATGGGCGTGACTTAGTTTGACAGGTGTGCAGACACTGACAGATGTCTGACTAACTATGCTAATTTGTGTCACTACACCATCTTTGTGCAGTTGGACCAATTTTATTGGTATTATGTCACAAAAATCCAATCCAAGATGTTGGCACTTACTCTATGGTGAGTTAAATGCTAGTATTTTATGAGCTTCATGCTGTTGAGAAGGTAATTGTGTCTGTGTGTTGCACAGTTTATAGAGGCAGCTTAGCTAGCAGTTTATAACCAAGCTTGCTAGTGTTAGCACTTCACTCTCTCTTCTAAAGTTGGTCAACACCATAGTTGCAACTAAAAACAAATACTGAGTCCAGATAGCAAATGCCGGTTTCATCTTTTTAATTGTTTGATGTAAAACCACTGAGTAGAACCTCTGCTTGAAAAACACATTGAGGCCTACTTGAGGTTTTGATCAATAACATGTAACATGTACTAAGTAAGAATGGTCACTTAGTTGAATTATTTATGACCATTTTAATATATTATTGTAATTTTAATGGTTAATAAATTAATATGCATGTAAATGTATGTGAACCTAATTATAATACATACTATAATGCCAGTCAATCATATTAATGTGGAGTTGCGTAAGACTTGTAATCAGTTAAATTTCTACTCTTAAGAGAAAGTTACACAACAAGGGCAAAGAGAAAAGCAGAGAAAAAGATTAAAAAAACTGAAAGGTTAAAATAGTAACAAAGTGTTGCAGGAAACACAAACGTTAAGGAGGAGAAAAACTCAGAGGCCTCCCTCCCTCTCCCTGTCAGATAATCTAAAAGCTTAACGTCTTTGATAGCAGTTCGTCTTCTTCCTCACTCTGCTGTGACAAAGCTACAAACTACTGTTTTCTACCTGAGCTGGAGAAGAGATCAAACAATGGAGCTTTAAGCAGCTCGGCTCTGAAACACAAACCTGACCTACACACACACACACACACACACACACACACACACACACACACACACACACACACACAACACATGCACAAAACCAACTTCTGACTCAGGGCATGTTCACACACCTTCGAGCACACGCACGCTCTCATCCAACATGAACGTGTGTGCTCGTGCACACTAACAGATGAGCAGATGTAGGTCTGTGTGTGGGAGCGGTTTGACTCAACAAAGAGAGAAGAACACAAACCCCCCTCCTATTTTCTTTGCTTCTTTCTCTCACAAATATACAGAAGATGTAAATGAAGATAACTGAGCAGTAAGTGTGGGTGTGTTTCCACTAAACACTGCTCTTCTGAGATGCTTACAGTGTAACAGATTTATCAATCATTAATAATCTGCATGGAGACGAAACATTACGTTGTGTTTCCCTCTTTTGTTTCCACTAGTACAGCTGTGCTCCGTCACTGCTGGGAAAAAAAAATCACACAGAACCCAAAACATGACATGATGTGATATTTCCACTGTGTCTTTAACACTATCAAAAATATGTTTATGCTTTGAGAAATGTTTCAGAGCTATATCGGATGTTTCCAGAGACGGTGATGTATACAACTGTCACAGCAGAAACGAAGACATACTGGTGATGACTGTGTGATGGGGGCTGGGGTGCTACGGATATGAGCTGTGGCTTTGAGGCAGCTTCATGAATCGGTTACAGTTCTATCTGCTGAACCATCCCAGTACTGTTTTCAACCATGAACAAAGACATACATGAGAGCAGTGTTCACTGTGGTTTATTATATTAATGACGCACGTTGTCCATTACAGTAACAAAAAGGTTATCACATTATAATGTAATGAAAGAAGAAGCAAAGAAGTAAGCCTCAAAGGTCTGTGCATGCAGTTACATATCTGATGCTCTCTTTACATGTCAGAGCTTAAAATGCTGCATATACTCTATTTATATATGTACAAAACATGTAAGTCTATTTTAGTTGATATGATTTTATTGCTCTAAATTACAGCACTTTCTGCCAATGTTTAGATTAAAAGATCAAAATACTCAAATGTCCATAAACACATATGGCTATCCACATTATCAGGCACACTCCTACAGACTGATGTGATCCAATTTCATGTCAACTCAGTAATAAATTGATTTGCCGCTGTGCACCCTTACCACTAACCAACTAACTAACACTAAAAACTTCATGACGGTAGCAAAACAATATATTTAAAAGCAAAACATGAATATTACAGGCAACAAGAAAGCAAACTTGCAGTTGCAGTGCTGTACTGCATTTCTGTGTACACCTAATAACCTGTAAAATAAGCACAAAAAAATTGGATTTCTTTAACTTTGAATCCGACGGCGTCTTTATTTATTCATTAGCCTGACCCCTGATTTTCTGGCTCACAATATTGAAAGATGATATTTAGTCTACAATATCAGTTTGAATATTTTGTTGTTTGAAATACCCCTAACAGTCATTTTAGATAAGTTTATGTATTCCACGTGCTTCGTGGTAGCATCTTTGCAAATGGGCATTGTTGGCATTAACAGTTCACGACAACAAATACAAATTTGTAATGTTCATTAGGTTAATGTCAGTGCTAACGCTTTCTTTCTGTTGCAAATGTTACATTTGGTTTTTTGCTCACTTTTGCAGGCTACTTTTCAGGCACTCACCACATCGCAATGCTAATATCATTTCATTAGAAAACAGGCAGATCATCACTGATTCATTTAAAATCAGCACCAACTCACCATTTCCAAACCACTTGACGACATACACATACGTCTCCTTTATACTGAACAATTCTCAAAATATACTGGAAAATGGTTTTATATTGATAAAATCTGTTATTTTAACTTTTTTCACAAAAAAATGTATTTAAATACTATATACTATAATACTAAATAATATTTAAATGAAATATCTTTAACTTTTGAATCTCAATGCAAATTCTGCCTGAACTCTACCTGCTTGTAAGTCAAAGGGAAACGGAGAAAATTTGTTGTGTTGGATTTTGGCTAAGGTGACCCTTCAAATTCAAAACAGAAGAAGCCACTGCACGCTACTCGGATCATGACTGATACTCTTGTGTGTTGTTTGTGATTGTTTTCCTTCATTCGTGCAGAGACTCGGAGTCGATAGTTGAAGTGCTTCTATCCCATCCTGTTGACCACCGTGGAGTAAGTGTCCTGGGCGCGAGTTTGAGGGTTCAGTGCCTACAAGAAAAACAAAACAAACAATAAAATGTTTTGCTTTAGGATGCCAGATTAAGGTACACATCACCAAGTGGTTAAATAGTCCAATATGCTTAAATAATGTTATTTATTTATGGGAGGGAGGGATTTTAATCAACCACCCAGAAAGCCCAAGAAAACAAGTGGTTAAAGAACTACATCAGATCCATGAACCAGGTGAAAATGGAGTCACGCTCTTTAATCCCAACATATCTGAGTATCTGATTTAGGGGAATCTCTTCTTCTAACACTTTTGCATGTATTACATCTTGCTAGTTCTCTCAAAATTGAGGGAAAGTATAAAATATTTGGGCAACTTTGGACTCTGCTTATAGCAGGCTTTGGAATCACATCTTGGCAAATTAGTGTTAATATTTAGTGTAATCTATGTTCTATGTTGATAAACAGTTAATTAACTCTGGTCAGGAATTAATCCAATTCCATTCAATTGCAACGTTGGTCTCGTTCCAATATCGTCTAATACAGTCTTATTTGTTACATGAAGGAACTGGAAGAATTTAGTGCAAACAAAGCTAAAATATCTTTTTAGTCATTCAGATTTGATTTTTATCAAATGACATGTTCTGATTTTTATCACTCCTTGCACCACATCATTAAATATCATGTAAAACAACATTAAAATATGTGTGGAAAAGTAAAAAAATTCACAGAACATGAAAACACCATTTCAGGACATTAATTGTTTCATTTAATTGTAAATTAAAAAAAGTATGAATAATTCAGTTCAATACAGTTCAATTCACTTTTATTTACTTAGTGCCAATTTGCCAATTCAGATCACTAATTAGTTTGGCTGCATTTTTTCTTTCTCTTTCTCTTCTTTCCCCCAAACTGTAATATATTAATATCTCTTGTTGCCTGAGTGTACCTCAGGATTCCCAGGAAGGACGAGAAAAGTATTAATGGCAAAAGGACATCTGGAATACCCTGCTAAACCTGCTCCGTTCATCTAGCGGATAAACGGTAGAAAATGGATGGATGGTTGGATGGATGAATGGGTGGTTAGATGGAGAAACCATGAAAACTATGAAAACATTAACAATATAAAAGCCATACTTTCTGAATTATTGGGGATTTAACATTCCAGGTAAAACATAATTTTTATTATCCAGTACGTACCTCATAGTCAGGAGATGGGACAGGTGGACCTCGGCCTCCCGATCGAGGAGGTGCTGGAAGATGATGACAGAGTAAATACAACTTAACGCTTGTAATATCAATAATAACAGAATTTCTCAAGAATTAAAGGTGTATAAAGGACATGAGGTAACCTTTAACTCAACCAAGACAAAAAGGTAAACCAGTAGACTGTCAGTCATTTGTCCAAGTGCATTTTTTACCTTTGGAAGGTTGAGGAGGTCCAGCTGAGCTTTTCTTCTTAGTGCACCTGTAGACTATGACCATCATAATTATTGTCAGGAGTAAGTCCCCGACAATCACCGTAAATAATGTGTCTCCATTGAGCTCAAAGCAGTTCTCACACACTGGAGGTAAAAGACCACAAGTGTTAGAGCAGCATGAACAGCTAACACAAGTGAGGAAATGAAAAGATTCTTTTTCACTTACCATTTCCTTCAACATAGAAATAATATTTCTGATTAGTTTCGTATACACATCTGTATGTGCCTTTACTCGTATATGGGAATTCATAGGTAGAACTTTTATTATTGACTTTTTCATTTTTGTAAAACCACTCCCCATCTTCTGGACAGGTCAGTATGACTTTGCTCCTCCAGAATTCTGCTTCGCCTGAAAAAACATGGACAGATATTAAGATACTTTTCACACAGAAAGGGACAATCTGAGATGTGAGACACTTTCCTTAAACTTGGCTCATCTTTTGCACATTGTGAATTTTCCCTGCATTAATACACATCATTCTAAATTATTATAAAAAGAAATCCTTTAACATTTACCAAAAAAGGCCATGTCTGCTCACAATAAATGTGTTCAATATAGCAAAGACAAAAGTATATAAATGTCAAAAAGTGTACGTGGACATTAAAGCATATCAATGACATACAGGAAATTGCAGAAATTTCTTTGAAATGCTATTAGATGTCCTAGTTTGTTGACAGAATTCATGTTTCTAAATCCAGAGAAGTTTACTGAGACTCAATGACTTTAAAATATGAATTAAAACAAACGCCAGACTGTTACCTTGAGGCTCCTCAGCCTTCGTGGTAGCAACGCCGAGGAGGACGACGACGAGCACGGCCTGGACACCCATGCTGAGCATTTTCTTCAGGATGCCTGTTTTTCTGTGCGTTTCTAGAGCTTTCTAATATATAGACTATAACTTTTTGAAGATTTCCACTTGAAGATTTCAGTTACATCAAAATGCTGCTCAATGAGACGAAAAGCTTCAAATTAGACGAGGAGGTTCTCTCTCTCTCTCTTCTTCTGACACACACACATGTTGCACCCACAGGAAGTGTTTTTTTTT